AGAAGCCAATATGCTAGTCTAATTTGTTAGTACCTTTCGGATTTCTGGATGAATCTCGTATCTATGATATGATGTGCTTTCATTAATAGGATTTGTAGCATAATTTTTCACCCCAATGAATATTGATTAGTGAAAGAATTTATGGTTACTAATTCAGAAGTTGAATCAACTGGGCATCACAAGCGTTATTGATGCAACAAATATTCCAAGTAATCCTCAATATCAAGGGATTGAATATCTCAGAACACCGTTGGATGACGATGTTATCTCAAATATAACGCAATATTTCGTCAAAGTTGCTGATTTCGTTGAATCAACCCGATCAAAGGTTTTTTACATTTATTGTGCATTTATGAGTGTATTCATCGCTCAATTCGTTTGAGAGTTACACACAAAAACGTATCATGCGCATGTATCAGATGTCATTGTTAGGGCTCAACGCTTCAGTTTTTCGTCATCTCGGTTATCAGTTTGTCATCACGATCATCAGCTGCTCAGGCAACAGCACTTGCATAACAACATGTTGTGGCAGTGCATTCATCCTTTCTCATTCCGTTCTGCTGTAAACAACATTCATTATCCTACTGGACAATTTTCAGTGGGATATCACTGATGTTGAATTCTTTTTAAACATGTCAATTCGTCTTGTGAAATGAACTGATTGAGATGTATGCTGAAGGAATTTGAACTATAGGAATACACTGGGGATCCAAAACAAAGAAACGTTAGGATTAGATTCGATTAGATTATAGCAAGTTCCTTTTTCAAAATATGACTAGAATTGTTATTGTCAAAGCAAATTTGTGACATATACTTCAGTTAAGAGAGGGAGGCATTTCGTGGCTGTGAAGTACCGCGTCCGCCCTTCCCAAACCCAGTAGGTACTTTCAGATGAGTAGAATAAGTTGAAAAAAACCACGAATGTGTCGCCAACGAATATGTTCTTATATTTTTCAAATGTTTTAGAAGAGAAAACTAAGTGCAAAGCAATTCCAAGTGAGTCTTGGAATGTAGGCTTGAATTCCGATTAAGAACCTCTGAGTGCATTACCGTTTGAAATGCGTGCAATGAATGAGTATTTGAAGACCTAATGACGATCAAAATGATTCAAAAGTTCAAAATCTTCAGCGTAAATCTGACGAAGCGCAAGACAACATTTACGAGACCACAGCTTCGGGAGTTGTTTTGATTGGATGCTTTTTGAAAGCTTTTGAGAGAAATGCTGGAACGAAACTGGCTTATTGTTGTTCACATTGTTTTCTTTCATCGAAATTTATTTTGTGGTCAATCCAAGAAGGAAGATTAGTACTAGAGTATTAATATTATAGTGTATTGCGAGTTAAGTGTTTTTTTTTGGTGAGAATGATGATTTTTCAGGGCGGTAAAACGTTGATATTTTGTGCAGCCGGCATCAGTCGTTCAGCNGCGCTTTGCATGATGTCACTGGTGATTAACGAGAAGATGACGTTGAGGGATTCCTTCTACGAGATCCATCAGAAACGTCCTTTCATTTCACCCAATATTGGTTTTTGGCGACAAATGATCGATTTTGAAGAGACACAAAACGGAAAAAGTAGCGTTCGATTATTGAGAGGAATGAGACGACCCTTACCCGATGTTTACGTCAATAAACCGCAGACGAACAGCTCAGTCAAATCAACATCCTAGAGTCTATCCTAAGAGAAATAAATCTGTCAAGGTCCCAAAAATTTATGGTTTTCATTCATAATCACGACGAAACTTTTCACTGTTGGAAAAAATGGAAAAGTTGAGGGAATTCAATCTGGCAGTAAACCGCTTTGTGTCTCATTTCAGAACATAATTTACTGTGTAATGCATGCTGTTTGGGCAATTGACAATATTTGAAAAGATCCTCAAAGCGTTTCTTCATTCACCTTTTGCCAAGATGAATAGTTTCGTATTTGTATATATACATACACATACATATTTTGCAATGGTTTTTTTTGTTGTGAAATGAATGAATAGTCATAAAAGC